AAATAAAAAATTTATATCTTTATGTTTGAAGCCTGAAATGTGGCAAAAGGTTGAAAAGTTCAAGGGGGCCGAATACTTTCGCAAGGCACTGTAATATAATGTGAGCCCTAACTCACCTGTTCATGGAGAACACTGGTCAGGTCATGATGTGGTGATCTGTCCTGTGGAATAACAAGCCTAGTGAAGATCAGGAAAGAAAAGCACAAATTAACCCATATGCCTTACACATCAAAACAATGCCTTCCTGTCACTGGTATGTGGAGGCCAGATTGTTCACTGTCTTCTACTGTTCAGTAATTTCTGTTCAACATAATTCTCTAACCTATCAAGACATTACAGACAAACACCATGAGGCCCGAGTGCGACAGTCTAGCTGCTATCAAACTCCTCTTGTAGTGCTTGATGGCACCCTGGCTGCACGGTGCTACACTGCCCATGTCCTGGGTCCTCACTACCTGGCCTTCATGCAGACTCATCCTGAAGTGACAACATGCCAGCAGGACAGTGCATGTTCTCCTGCTGCTCTTGTAAACCCAGCTGACGTGCAGGATGAGAACCAGACAGTCAAAGCCACGAAGGCCCTACTCACCAGACGAAAGCTCCGCTGAACACGTAGATTTCAGTGACCAGCGAACAGGCACGTGCTTGTCCGGGATCTGGGAGAGAGAACCGAATCCCTCTAGACAGTGACCACGGCACGCTGTAAGACAGGCACTGCAGATGTGCAGCTTGGAATGTGTTCACACACGACACTAGCATGCGCCTTTTAAAGGAGACCCCCTGTTGATGAGAAACATTTATCAGTAAGCATTAATCAGAACTGACCTATAATAAAATAAATAAATATAATGTCGGCGCACCTGCTACACAGATTGCCACTTTCCTGACAACTACCTGCGGCAAAATAGCAGTTATGCACTATTCATTTTCATGCTCAGTACTATTTACAATTCTTCAGCTTTTTTGTGCAATGTGGTAAGTATAACCTAGTGTTTCCTTATATGTAGTGCTAACGCTTGCAATTCGGGGTTTATCAAAAACCATAACTTACCACGTCTACAGATCCAATGAAAAAGCCCACAACTTGATCTACACTCGATCTACACAGGATTTACGCGAGAAACAATAAGAATAGTTAAACAAGTGTGGCACAAGAAAAGAGCACAGAGTTGCAAAATCTCTAGGTAGGCAAGTCTCTACATAAAACATATTCACCCTTCTATTCCACAATGGTTAGCTAAAATAAAGTGTATTTAGCGGATTCTAAAACGGAGATATTCTTACCATTTTATATTTGAAAATCGCACCATGCCGGCAATTCCGAACAATGTCCAACAATGCCAAAGAAATAATCATTAACTAGTCCCAACAGCTTCAGGTCTCGGTTGCAGCAACTGGATGGGAGACAGAAGTTCTGCAAAACAACACCAATAAAAATGCATTAGTATTCAACAAGGTTCGGCTAAGAAAATGGTTTCAACTCCTTTCCTTCCTACACCCCCGTTCAAACAGCGCAGAAATACACTGTTCATTCAGTAAAAGGACATCTTTCTGAAAAGTCTCGTACCTGAAGGAAACTTCAAAAACAAAAACACCGGATTCTTTCCAGTTTGGGGTAGAAAAATTATATTTTAAAGTGTTTCAAAAGAGAAACATTACCTCGCAAACTGCCGGCGCCGCCATCTTGAACCAGACCCACGCGTGGAAGGGGGAGAGAGCCGCACTCGTGGGGAATTTACGCCAGGTGACAGTGACGTAAAACGCCGCCAATATCTGCAATTACGTCATTCGTCCCCGTTTTGTAAACCCCTTTTAGTACTTTAATCCCGTGCAATGTTCCCCATTCTTAGGGGTGTGACCTAGAATGGCCACCCCCCTAAAAATACCGGCCAGGTGCAGACCCGGCTGCTGGAAAACGCACTTCGCCGGTGGAGCGTGATCGGACCGTACCCGGGTTGGATTCGAACCCGCTCTGAGCGAAGAGGTGCCGGGGGGGCTCTAGGCTACTCTAAGCCACAGGGCTTAGAGCCTGGTTTTCAATAGCTGCAACACTGACTTTGCCCGTTACGCCACCTGGCCGGTGCGCACGACCTGATTTTTATCTTATTTGAGCTACAGTCGGACATTTAAGGAAAATACAAATTTTGGTTTTCTCCAAAATGCACCTTTGTAATCATGGTTAAACGACTACCTTTAGCACACCCCAAAAGCACGAAGAAATATTGTAATTTCGAGGTAAAAATCAAAACTTTTAAAAACATAATAAACTTTATATTTTCGTATTCTAAAAACGCAACATTGCTTAGAGTCTGGTTTTCGCTAGCGTCAACACTGACTTTGCCCGCTACGCCACCTTACCGGTGAACATGATCTCATTTTTATCTTATTTGAACTACAGTCGGACATTTGTTTTAAAAAATAGAAACATTTGAATTACTGTTAATCTAATGCCTTATGAAACTGGATGGCTTTAAGCACACCCCAAAGCAAGAAAAAATGTTGCAATTCTGAGGAAAAAAACGAAACGTTTAAAAAGATAGGTTTCATCACGTTCTCATATTGTAAAAGGTGAAACGCGCTCTTTCAGCGTGATGCTATATGCAGTCATATTCAGGTAACTGCTGCATTTATAAAGTTGCACGCTAGCTTGTTAGTCTTTTAGCAAAATATTTCCATTCATAATTCCAGTTGGATTGCTTTCAATTAAACAAATTGTTACACAATTAAAAAACCTAGATTTGAAAGGGCCAATTCACAGCTTCATAATCTTGGTGCCTTTTTTCAAGAAAAAACGGATCTTTCAGCTGGAGAGCTATAATGCAGCAGGCCTTAAAAATTGTGTTTATAGTTTGTGACGAGTGTCACCTTTCTGTTGGCAGTTAGCGCTGCTGCTTTGCTGCTCCCTGGTACAGGGTTCAATTCTGTCCTGGAGGTGTCTTTCTGTGTGAAGTCTGCATGTTTCCCTCTTGTGGCTGCACTGGAGTCAGGTGAGTTTGTTGCAGGCACCCTGGCTGAGAGACACTGTGAGCAGGCACAGGACTTCGTTAAATTGGTGACAGAACAGAGAAGGACTGAGAGACCCAGACAGACAACATTGTCAAAGCACTGGCCAGACACTGTCAGAGGTCAGGTCAGAGAACCTGGAAGAAGACCCACTACATTGATAGATGACCTCATCCCCTTACCCACCTTAGGTCATGCAGCTTCGGGAGGATTGCTGCTAAACAGGAAATGTATATAAGCTGCTGAAAACTTGCATGATGTATCTTTCCAGTCTGGAGGCAGTTTGCTGGATATGATCACTCCAAGTGAAGCCTGGGGTGGTCGTGGAAGAGAGTTAAAGTGCCTCTACAAGAGCTGCAGAGAATACAGATGAGGCTGACTTTTAACGGGTTAAATCAACTCATCACCAAGGCCCTGTCAACTATTTTACTAATGAGGAGTTTTTAATTTAAAGTTAATTTAGTGCTTATACAACACTCAAGTGTACCACATCCATCACATTCATGGACTTAAATCACTTAATCAGTATCCAAAATCTGTATTTTATGTTTCTAAAAGTCATATAAACCTGAATGGAGTGATACATTTAATTTGTTTTCCTTTTGTTGTTCAATACTGTATATACTGCTTCAGGCGCATTGGTTCGTGGACATACTGTATGTACACATGAATTCAGATATGAACATACACCACAGGTATGAGACGCACTTGGGAGTCTTGGCCTGACTGCTCATACTGTATATGGTGCCCACTATTACCAGTTAGTTTAGTCTTTAGATTTGATTTCATTTTCTACAGTTTGTGTTTTGTTCTGTTTGAAATGATTAAGTAGGATCTCACCTCAAAGCTGCTAATCACATGGCACTGCGGGGCTAGTGGCAGGGAGAAAGGGGGTGGGGTTAGCTTTGGCTCCTCCGCCCATCACCATAATTTTGGAGAAAATTATTAGAAGCCCTGATGTAGAAGGACAGGAGACTATGAATGTTCTGAAGTATGAGTTGAATAATGTACTGTATGCTGTTGTGCAGCGGTCTAAATCACAAGAAGAAAAAATTGTTTCAGGAAGAATTCTCGGATTGCTGATGGAGACACTGCCTATGGATCAAGAAATCTAAGCATCTCCTGGATCTAGCAAATCTGACCAGATTCAACACGGAAATCCCTCAGACACGTGTGAACGATACAGCGGGGTGATAGCTGTCACAGAGGCCTCTCTGTTTGGCCACGTGAAGAATCAGTCTGGCAAGAGCTTTGCGATTCGACAGGAGCTGCTGGCTTGTCTTTCCACAGAACAGAATCGTGAATTTCCAGCTCGTTAAGGCTATACCAACATAATTCCACACTGTTACAGAAAATGCCATGTCTTCCCTGGATTAGAAGGTCTTGCTTGTCTTCACGTGGTGAATCAAGCATCAGGGGTGGGCTGTTCAACACTTTCTGCACTCTGAGAGGCAAAAGTAAACAGGGCAAAATGAAGCCAATGACCTCCATGTCATACCTGCTTGTTCCCAAGCTGAATTAATGCTCACCTCCTCATACCCTCACCCGAGGAAACATTGTTTCCTCATAAACAACTGAAAATTAATTATCCCAATATTTGGTAACAAAACAATGCAATGTGAGCAAAACAACTCCAGTCATAGTGCAATTTCAAATGCAGTAATGAACATTAAAGTGATTAACTTACCCCTGAAGACAAAACATGATCTTCATAAATTGTTCCTTAAAACTGCACCGAAACCAACACCAAATCTGATTTAAAAAACCCAGAGAACTTGGTAAACAATTTATATCTGACCCCAAAAAACAACCCCCAAAACGAAACAAATTAATGAAAAATGTTTCTGATTTTCAGAAACTCAGGCCTACCCCATCCCTAGGAATTTGGAACAGCCGCCATCTTGCGCTCTCTCGCCGCCTCTAGTAGCGGAGAGAACTGCAGCTCAAATCCAATCACGGATACCGCTTTTTGCATTTGTCCCGCTTGTATTTGCTCGAAAACCAATTTGAGGAAATACTATACTGCTCAATGTCAAATGCAAAGTGTAGTTGTGAATTTCTGGGATAAAAACACCAAAATATACCTAGCAGTTAAGAGAAAAACAAACTGCATTGCAAAAGTTATGTAATGCAGATAGACATTTCATGAATGAATAGCTTTAATCAAGACAGGTGGTTTATCGGAATGGTGTAGAAATAAAAACACAGAAGCATTTGCTGGTCACACACAGCAAAATCCAGAAGCGAATGGCAAATGTTCACAAAACATGATAGTGCTTGAGACCATAGTTTCCTTTAGTGCAGAAATAATTGAAAAGATAAAAACATTTTTTATGTATAATGAGACTAATTCACTCACATTCCTTTGCATGTTCTTCTATATTATGTTAATTCTATGAAAATCACTATTTAGATGATAAAGTGTTTGATATGAATTCCGTAAAAGCCTTTAGGTTCATTTCTTAGGGGACGTACTTGCATATTCTTTGCCTGCAAGGCAACTAATGATTTTCCTGCATGAAAAAAAAAATATATTGTGTATTGATAGTATTAAAGTTATCTTTCCCAAATTCTTGCCCATACAGCTTTGCTTTTTGCAATGCTTTTTAATCTAGCAGTTCTTTCAGAGCCTTATCAGTTCTTTAAATTCTCATTGGTAGAGCATCAAGTGTCATGTCTGTCCCTGTGTGCAGAAAGCCTTATTCTTATGATGACACCACGTAACATGAAGTAATATTAAATTTTCCATAGGTACACTATTATTTGTTGAAACTGAGGCTTCCTGTGCACTGAACAAGACAAAGGAAGCCCGAGTCTGACTATCCAATCAAAGATGTTTACAGGCCTGATTTTCTAGTATAAAGATTCGAGAGAAGAGTTTTAAAAGACGGGCTGTGAAAACTGTCAGCACTGTTAGCTATGTGAAAGGACGATATTTTGGTAAAACAATGTTTTCCCTGCAAATTGTTAAGGAAGTATTAATTAGGATTTCTTGTTTAGTCAAAAAGTTCACTTACTCCCTTTTGTACTGTACGTGCTGGTATTTTACTCCTATTCTTAATGGAATGACGCTTCATCGTAGAAAACTGAGATTGTGTGTTACTTTGGATAAAGGGGCGATCACAAGACATTCATCTGTAAATCTATTTACTTTAAAGGAATTTTAAAAGGGAATAATGGCGAGATTCCTTTAGAGACATTGAATGTATGAATCTAATACAGTGTTGTTTGTTGAATTTGCACGCAATAGCAGGGTTACATGCTGTTTTTGGGGGTCCACATGTGGAGGTGGGCGTGTCCCTAAATTGGGTCTCCCTCTGTATTGGTGGGAGAGAAAGCGGTCCGGTTTTTAAATGCCAGGACGGGATAGCTGAAGAGAGGACCAAGAAGGAGAAATGGCGAAAACGTGAGACGTGTCGGGTTTGGTTTCTTACCGGTGGGGGTGGAGTTGGGATTGTTGTGGCATCCGTGGTTTTTTTTTTAAGTTTTCCGTTATAGTTTACAGTAGAAAAGACAGCTTGCGGAAGACTTTTCTTTGGCTTTGCCACCATTTTCTCGGGAGACAGGTTTAGCAGGTAATATGGTTGTTTTTTTTGCTGTTCGTTCAGTTTTAACTTCCTAGCACTTTCCGTCATCCTCTGTGTGCGTGTGTTGCCGTCCGTTAAACCCTGGCAAATATGTTAATTCCCTAAACTGAGCCATATTGGGGACGAAACAAACCGTAAGTGTAAAAACAAAAATACCCTGAATTTGTCCATGTTTGCTGTAGTCGCATAAACAAATACGGTGAATTTGTTAACAACTTGCGTAGTTTTGAAAACAAAAGCCTAGAGTTTGTACGCAGTCAGTCCTTGTTAATAACAATGTTACAAGTGGTTAGATTAGCGCTGCTAGAGGTATTTGTATTTACACAACATCCAAAATATTTAAAAGGATTAGAGCATCCAGGATGCTTATACTTCCGGAAGAGTATTCCAAATTTGCTTTGCATCTTCCTTTGTCTTCATGATGTCTCTTTTTTTTTTGCTAGGTGTACTAATCAACTGTAGGATCTCCCGGAGATAAGTGGGTGTGTGTAACCTGAATGCATGTGTAACGGCTTAATTGCACACTGGAGAAATCACTCAACTGAACTTCTTAATTCTAAAGACATTTGGTTGCACCAGAGCTTATTTTGGAGTGTCATAGCAAAGAGGACAAATCCATATGCAATTAGTTTATTGTTCTAAAATTCTAATTGAGGAGGATGTATAGAATTTTTTATCTATCAATGGCCAAAAAATCCAATTAACTACATTGATTGCATATAGTAATGTGAAAGCCAGGATGCAAGATCTGTGAGGCAGCACATCTTACTTCCCAATTGCCCCACAAAGCCAAATAGTCAGTTAAGTTTAGATGTTGTTAAGGAAGTGTTAAATTCTTACTAATTACTGGTTAATTTACTCATGGAGGAACTTGGGTACTATGATTAGTCTAAAGACCTGGTACAGATCTTGAATGTTTTGTGTGAATTGGGTTAATTGTATAACTTGTCATGCAGTTACTAACATGTATTGGAGTAGAATTAAAGACCAAGCTTGGATCATGACCTGCCAAATAGCTGTGATCCTTCTGAATCCAGAAATATTGGGCTGGCTTTCTCCTGACTTAAATTGTGAGGAAAATAAGTGACGTGATCCAGAGGGAGCAGATCTCCACCCCAACTGCTGATACTGACATTTTAATTCAATAACTCTCTCATTGTCCTGTCTAAACAAATGTGAAATGGCTAGAAGGAAGGGAGTTTCTCAGGAGTGCAAAAATATTACTTTAGTAAAACCAGTATTGTGAGATGAATCAGATGCCGTGGTAGTAGTTCTAGAACTCGTTAGTTCTCCAGCATTACTGTATTTGTATATTAATTACCAAGAGTTTGGTACAGGCAAGTCTACACTAGCAAATGTATTTTAAAAATTAGTTGACACCACACCTAAACTTCCACTTCAAAAGTGCTGAAGAAATCAATTTTAAGAATAAAAAAAATCTGGTATTACCTGTCCTTGATTGGGTAGGTTAAAAGTGTCTTTCACTCTTGGGGGGGGGGGGGGGAATGTGTGTGTGTAATATCCATTAAAAGATATTCCATTGAATACCTTCTGCATCTTTTCAGATTGATTACAAATCTGAACTTTTCCTTCCAGGATTCCAGATCACTACTGGACTTAAAATTCACACTGTTGCTATACAGTAGTACAGGCTGCCTGACTAGGTAGCCAAAGCTTTTTGGCAAAGTCTAACATGATTAAATCTTCTTGGAAAAAGAAAAGTAGTCTTGAGTACAGCATCTACTTTAGGCTTTAGCTCCTTCACTAGAGCCCCTGTTTTAGACTCGACTTCAATCAAAGTCACGAAGTGGAGGATATCATCCTGGGATGGAGTGCGCCGCATTCCAAGATCTTCAAGCAACTGTTGAAGTAAATATCCAGATTGCATCCTCTTAATCTCTTGAGGAATACATTTCAGATCACTCTTTTAAAAAGAGGCATGCTTATTATAGAAGAAAGAAGCTTCTTGGTTGCCATGCACATCTCTGAACTTCACAGCCTTGAGAACTTGGATGATCTTTGATGTGTTTTTTTTTTAAAGACCTTAAATGTACAGGAAGAATTTAATAGGAATTTTTAAAATAAACTTTGGCTTTAATCTCATGACAGCCTCCGTAATCCTTATCCGTAATGAAATTATACTGTAAACCATCTATAATCCTAACTAATTGGGACCAAGCATATTTCTGATAATGTCAGACTTCAGATAATCAGAGTTATCCATATGTATGCATTTATATTATTTTTACTGACTTCAAAGGCATTGGTTTATAAAAAAAACCTCAATTAGCTCGACTACAAAATGAATGCCATTTAGCATTGTGTACGCAGCTTGGAATAGCTATGCTAATAGAAAACCAAATGACAATCTCAAATATATGAAAAATGGGTTTTCTTCAAGGACTTATGTCAAATAAAACAAGTTTAACATTTTTGTAATCTTAATTTTAAGAGTGAATTCAAGTCTATATGCCATTCAAATGCAAACACTTCAATTGGGTGGTCTTGAAACTACACAAAAGCAACACATTACTAACGTCCTGAATGCTCTGCCACTGTCGGAGTGTGAAACTACTCAAGACCTGAGATTGCAAAGGGCAACAGAAAAGATTAATGAGGATGAGCCCTGGAACATAAAGACGATTCTAAAAAAGGTCTGCCATATAAACCCACTGGTGATAAGAATGTCATTTTCTGTTTCTATCAATGTTCACTATACCCCTTTGTTAGATGCTGTAATTCTCAAAGAGGCAACACCATGAAATCTGTTTTGGCAAAAAAAAAATCCTAACTGGAAGACTGTGCTTTTAAAAAGAAGCAAACCTGCCAATTGTGTTCAGAACAAATAGGGACTGTGCAGATTGATTAAACATTACGCAAAGCAACAGGCAACTGAACAGGAATGGCAAAAATAGGACAATACCAGCTACACTAAATGCATTTTTTAATAAAAGAACAATAAGTTATTGAGCATTGATTTTGAAGGATTTATTTTTCCCCCCTCAGTGACAATTAACACTTTATAAATAAGGTACTCTACAATGCATTCATTTCTCACTGAGAAAAGCTACAAACATTCTGCAACATACCTGTATAGTTCTAATCCAATTACAACACATCAATCAGTATTGAACAGATTTAAAAAGTTCTTTGTATTTTTTTTTTGCAGATATGCTCAAATTTATAAACTACTTATAAAAACACTGTCCATTTGAAAGGCCAAATACTTCCAGGACAGGTCCCCAGTCCATCACAGGGCACATACAGGCAAAACAAGCACACACTCATGCAAAGGCCAATCTTCCCCAGAAGCCAATTAACCTGCCAGTATGTTTTTGGTCTGTGGGAGGGAAACGGAGAACCTGAAGGAAACCCGCATGAACACAAGAAGATAGCACCCCAGGAATAGAACCTATTGGTGCAGGGAATTGATGTTAACCACTGTGGCACCAGGCTGTACACTTATCTCTGTAAATATTACGATGCCACGCAGGGGTGTGCCTTGTGAGTAGTGGTTTTTACTGCTCTTTCCTGCCTAAGATGGGAGTGCACAAATCACAGGCTAGCTGACAGGAAACCAGCAACCACTGGAGCAGGATCAACTGGATCAACTTCTTTCAGCTCCGACGGAACAACAGGTGTGCTGCTAACACATTTCCCCAGCATGGGCTATTTGTTTCCCAGCTAGAATCTAGAAGGGCTTTTTCTGCCATAGCTCAAGGCTGTTTATTTTTCCCCCAGCATACGACAACCCGGAAGAGCTAATTTCTGCCACTGTTTATTTTCACCCTTGATGGAAAAGACCCCTATTGTAAAATAATATTTAATAAAAGCCCTATTTTTCACTTTAAAATCGTGTTTCAGGTTTGGCTGTGCTCGGGACCTATCTGGAACCTGTCACTTATTGTGGGGTGCCCCATGTGATATCACAATATATATATATAAATGCAAGACTGCCTGACATTGTTACATTTTTAATTAAATCCAAAGGCTACAAAGAATAACACAAACATTTCTTTCAGCATAAGGTTACACTTGTAAACCCAATTTAAAGTAAAAGCCCTTAGGACATCACACTTAATCTGGTGAAAAGGGCAAACTCTAACATTCTCCAAGTCAGCAGTTCTCTGAGGGCAAGATTTCTCACCACACAGTGAATACGACTAATAGTTGTCAATGGAAAATTCAAGGTTTTTTATTTTTGCTCCCCTTCCAGAATACTGAAAGGGATTATTACAATGTTTCCTTAAAAGCTAGGTTCCTTTTTTTGTGTTCTAAAGATATTTTTTAGGTTTTATTTTTAACAATGTAACTTAACTTTTTATTGTTTTTGATAGTTCTACCAAAGTAAATGAAAAATAACTTTATGTATTGTACAACTTCTTGTTTATGCCCTCATGCAGCTACTCTATGGTTTAAAAATACAGAGTGCGGACAGATACATATATTAAAAGGGACACACAGGTTATACTGTATTTTAACACCAAACAGTGAGTAATGGGTATGAATATTATTGAGAACTCATCCAGTCACAATGCAAATGGAGACAGAATGTCTTATAATGATATGATTTCTCATTTCTTCTTTTGTGCATTAACAGTTGTTTTGCACTTATGGATTCTTATTCTGCTTCCCATATGATTTTAACTGGAAGAGATATTTATATCCATACCTATAACTAATCTGTATTCTGTAATACACTCCCATATGTGGAGGCATATTACATCTGTATATGCATTACAGTACCCATATTGTACACAGTACTAGTCAAAGTTGGCTATAACACTCTGTCCATCCAGTCATTCATTGTTCAACCACTTCATCCAATAGAGGGTCAGGGAGGAGTCCAGACCATTGCAGGTCTCACACACACACTCACTACCAAGACAGTTAATCTTCCAGTATGTCTTTGGCTTGTGGGAGGAAACAAGAGCATCCCAAGGGAAAACCAGGAGAACACGGGGAGAACATACAAACTCCATGCAGATAGCACCCCAGGATTTGAACCCAGGATGCCAGCACTGCCCTGCTGTGCCATCCTACTAATATACTCTAATATACACTCTAATAAGTCCTAATGCATCCATGGCTGTAAGCTTGACTACATGTGCAAAACGACAAAATGAAAAGATGTAATAAAAGAATGGTCTTTGTTAGAGTTTTAACTGGACGACAGGTTATTAATGTGAATACCCAAAACTCGGTTCGATACAGCATGAAAACAAACTTTACATTATTTATGCGCGTTCTTCAAAAATTAAAGCATACAGATTTTGAATGGCGATGAAAAGATTTGGGCGTCACATTGATTTATGGATCGTCCATGACTGTAACTCATTCGAAGGACTATGTTTCTAAGGCGCTATATCACCAGGTTAGTGAGAGAGTTGGTTGAGCATAAGTGACGAAGTTAGGAAATTTAACCTCTTGAATGTCAAGCCTGATGACAAAAACCACAGAAAGGAACTAGAGTGGCCTGTTTGATGACAGCGCCTTGTGCCACCAATGTGTTGGAGACTGGGATAAGTCACTTTGGGTTGGCTTGCTAGCAGTGATGCAGTAATAGGCTTCCTTGCCGGAAGTTGGCCTCATTTGTGCTGTAGTGATGATGGTACATTGTGCTATTCTCAGGGAACCTGTCACTTTTCACCACATAACGGACACAGGATCTGTAGGTGTTGCACCATCTCTGTGCTGTTGCAACAGGACAGAACAATTGTTTCAGTTTGTTTGCCCAGTACAGAAATATCTGTGCTGGTAAAATTAATTAATTCTTTCATCCTTTCATCTCTTGTTCTGTTTCAGTCTAATCTCAGGAAGATGCACAAATAAAAAGCATATTTCGTTTTATTTTGAGGAATGAGGCTCTATATTCCTCTTAATCTCTGTTTACAACTTTTTGTCTCAACACCTGCAAGGTTTAAATGAGGGATTTGTCATAGCAGGTTGGTAGAATGCTATTTTCCTTTAACATTCCACTATAAATATCAGGTATAACTATCTAAAAAAAATAAATAAAATAAAACAATTCAGCAATCACGCCTCAAATTCCATCTTCCAGAAATATAAATGCATTAAGACGTACTTCATCTGTACATTTGTCTTTGTGCATTTATAGAATGTAACCTCTAGGAGACAACTTTAAAAGATTAACCGAAAATGTAATATCACCAATTGGCATAGTTTTGAAAAAAGGAGTCTGATCAGTCTGATTAAAGTATATATATCTTTCTTTCACTCAGCACTGAACAGGTGGTAACCATAGAGTTATTCAGTAGCTCAAAGTGCAACCTACTGCTTACAATGGATTTCTTGCTCACGATTATGACATTAATTTAAAAAGGTTTGTTGTATTAAACCCTCTTCAAAGCAGTCACCCCGGTTGTGAATAGAATCAGTAGTACCTCTTGACATTTTAAAAGGGTTTGTAGTTTGTTTGGCAGTCATTGAAAAAACACTCAATGTTTATTTTTATTTTTTTTTACAATAAAGCCTTCTGCAAAATGGGTTTTGCGGCAGAGCAGATTTTAAAAAAAAGCATTTGGCTTTGTATTGATAAGGTTGGGATTTTTAAAAATTCTTTGACACTGATTTGCATTTTTTTTGTTTTCCTTTAAACATTGCATGGAGGAAAATAGGTCCAGATAACACCCTGCTCATCACGAGCAGCTTAGCCATGGTAACAAAGCCCAGCTTCAGTGAACAGTTGCATTGCAGGTTATTCATCTGTGATACATCTGCTCAAGATATTTGAATTACTTATTTAATTAATTTTGCATTCAGGATTTACCCTTGTGCCGTAGATATTTAGATATCCTCAAGTACTGTACTGTACAGTATTAACACATAACACTATACTAGCACATAATACTGTTGTAAGTGTTACAACCCAGAGTATTTCAAGCAAGGTTTTTGGCTAATTCACACATTATAAATATTGTTTGCTAAAAGAGACGGCAGGCTACTTTTGGATTGACACATCACCCATCCTAGCAGGTGATAGTTAAGAGATTCGTGTGAAATAATTATTTTACAA